AATATTTGGTATTATTTTTCTGAACTTTGTAAACAGGGAAAATGAGGCTGGAGTTAAACGACCTGCTCAAGGCCATCTGGCTGGTAAATTGCAGGCTAAGAGTCAAGCCAAGGTCTTTCTGACCACAGAGCCCAAGCTCTTCACTTTGGGATGTACCATCTCACTACGGACAAAGGTGCACCTGTCTTTCATAAATTAAGACAAGACAGGCCCTTGGAACTGTGAAAAATCCAGGGAACGATTCCATTGTAACAACGCCGTGCCTGAGTAATCTCAGGACAATCTGCACGGATCCCACCAAAGCTCCGCATCTCACGTCCTGGTCGTGACCCACTGTTGGCCTCAGCACATTCTCACTGCATCGGCATTACCGTTTCCATGAAAACCCCCAAGTTCCCAATCACTTATTCTGATGAGAAATGCGGTTGCCCCTTTGAAGCTAAAGTATAAAGTGTGCCTCTCATCTGGGGCTCTTTCTTCCCAGTCCTTGGGACAGGCTAGCGGGAAACTTTCTGACGCCCCAAACCCCAAACGAATCCAGATTCCCCTGTTTTTTTTAATTGGTGGAAGCCGATTTGTTTTGTTCAAAGCGCGTCAGAGCCCGCAGTGTGAGCATTGTGCCCCAACATTTAGCCCGTTTCATCGTCCTTCATTAGGATGCAGGGGAGAGCCCGGGCATCGGCAACTGGGCCAGAGGAACAAAGGCAACATGGAAACTGGAACGGGGCAATGAAGGCCTCACTCTCCACTTTAACAGAACAAGATTCCCACCATTTACTCAAGAACTTATTTTGTCCTTGTGTTCCATACAAAGGAACAGGAAACTTCAGAGGGAAAAATGGGGGGCGGGGACCAGTTTCTTACGCAGTAGCCCAGGGAGGTTGGGGTCACTGAGGGTACTGGCAGGAGGCTAGCTTGGCTCCAACACCGAAGAGGGGGTCACCTCATTTTCTGCTCTCAGAGGAGGCCACCTAGGAGCAGAGGAAAGTTGCTCCTTCTTGGGGAACAGCCAGAGGAGACATGAGGGTCAAGTGCAGCATCTACAGACCGACCGCACTGGGGGCTCTCATAGCCTGTCCACAGCTGAAGGAGCCCGACCACCCACCTGCGCGGGTGTTTGTTTCTTCCTCTGTATTCACAGCCCCAGAAAGTCCGGCCATGAGATCTTCGCTCAGACCCATTTATCTTTGAGAAGAAATCCATTTTCAAGTTGACAAGAATAGACCCTCATCTCTCCAATGCGAGTTCTAATTCTCATTCTGAGGACTGGTGTTTAAAACAGCTCATCTTGTAAACTGGTGAAACCTCTTAGCGATGTGAAACCTCTTAGCGACCATTTCAGGAACAGCTCTCTAGAGTTTAAAAACGTGTACCCTTTGAGTTAACAGCTCAACATCTAAGAATTTATCTTACAAAAATTCCTCTCCAAATGAATCAAAAGGTAAGTGCTAGAATATTCATTGAAGCTCTCTTGATAATAATACATTAAACACGGCATCAAGTCCATTTTAAGAAATTAGATGAATATGTGATTGTATATACATCTTTACAATGGAATACACAGAAAATACCCCCCCCCTTTTTTGAATGAGGTAGACAAACATGGAGTGGCCTGGAAAAAACATCCATGAAACAGGCACTGAAAATCACAACACACTGAAAACCTGCATGTATATTTTAATCCACTTTTGTTTGAAACAGGTTTTCTTAACATTGACATGATTACCATTTGGGTCAGATAACTCTGTGGTCTGGGTCTAACCTCATGCGTCATAGGATATTTATTGGCATCCCTGGCCTCACCCACTAGAAGCCTGTGACACCCCCCCCCACAACCCCCCTCCATGATGACAAGCAACAATGTTTCTAGATGCTGCCAAACTCCCCCGAGGGAGGGGGCAAAATCATCCCCAATTGAGAATCACTGGTTTAAAATGCCGATTTATCAACAACTTAGGCTTGTACATTACAGCAGAAAGTCCAGAAGACCCATAGGAACAGTGATTCCACCGGAAACTAGAGTGGGTCAGGGAAAGTAATGTTCTCTTTTTATTTTAAATACCTCTGGACTATTTGATTATTTTTACAAGTGCTTATTTCTTCTGTATGTCAGTAGAAAATCTACTTTTATTCCAGTCCCACTCACATTCTTAAATGTATACAAAGAAAAGAATGAGAATAGAATGGCTTCTATCAACAGACAGCAAGTCAGGATTCTCTTTAGTAAAGAGTGACAGGCAGAGCTCACCTGGGAAGGTAAGTCCTTTGAGAGGACCTCATTATGGGCCATGATGCCATGACCAGAGCTTATCAATTGTTCACCCAGAGTTCCATTGAGCCACGTGGTGAGAACCAGGTCTGGGAGACCGTGAACAGTATGGGAAATGTGGTATTTGAGCCTCTCGTTTTGAATTTCAGTGCCTTGGGCTCTCTGCTTCAAATCCTTCATCTGCTAAAAGGAGCATCTACTTTTTTACAAAGACTTCAGGAGGGCAGACCATTAGAGCAGCATCTATGAAGTGCCTGCCCCACATCAGATTTGGTACTACATAAATAAAAGATGGAATTCTCATTAATATTTGACTTGGTGCTTTTAAAGCTATTCTGTAAAGCAAATGTCTAGTCCAATTTGGGTATTTCAAAATGTACAAAGAATCCCAGAATGCTTGAGTTTCTTGTTCGTTTTGAAGGAATTTCCTCCAGGGAGACTGTTTCAGTTTAGTGGGATACTCAGGAGGAAAACAATAATGTGAATCTCTTTTCCCCCCTTCTTTGTTTTTCTAACTAATAGGCTATTCTAGAATTCTGCCACGGTTTGTTCAGAAATTACAAGGTAAACTGCCACAGCCAATTTTTGTGACGTTCCCCTCATTGAGTTAGTTGGGACTCTTGCTGAATTTCCTAGAAGGAAAAACAAACTAAATCTTATTAAAAGAATAATAAAACATTTGGTCACCCACCACATGAATGCCAGCAAATGAAGTGTCAGATTCCCACCACCAATACCTTCACCCAGTTACAACTACAAGGTACTAAGGGAACTACCGTTTTTTAAGGACATTTTAAAAAGTGGCTAGGAAGAATTCTCTTGTCCACCTACACTGGTGTTTTGAGACCAGATGTGATTCGAGCCAGTTTGTGACTCAAGATATGAATCAGTTCATAATGACATAGTTTCCATTCTTTTTCATTATATGTATTTGTTTTGTTTTCCTTTTTCTGGATAAAATGACAGTGCTGAAAAGTCAATGTTTGACTCATAAGCAACTCATAAATATTTTAGTCACAACTTTTGATCAATTACTACCCCTCGCCACCCCCCCTCCTCGCCTTTCACTGTGCCCTGATTTGACCCAGCTTCTTAATGCATCTTGGCTTCTTTGGCAATACTTCCTTTCTCTCCAATTTCACCTTGTTTTTCAAAGCTCTAGTATTGTGCAATTAGTTCATCCAGAAATTAAGCCTTTCCCCTTTTTTTGTTTCTCATTCCAAATTTAACCCTTTAAAGCTCAGGACTGGCCATTGCCAAGATTCCAGATTCACTCTCTACACACATTTTTAAAACAAAGAGAAAGCAGCATTTCTCTTCTTGGCCTTGCACACAGTACAGAAGATTCAAACAAGGCAGGAGCCATGAAGCAGAAACGTCTTTTCTAAGCAGCCAGCATAACCATGCTCAGTTCGGCCGCACCAACCCAAAGCAAGGGATGCTTTCAGCACAACACAATGACACACTCAAGGACACTCTACTGACACCATGGCTTCTGTCTGCCTTGTTTAGAACAACTCATGAAATCAATTAGAAAATTTCTGAACTTTATAGAATGGTATTAGACCAGGCATCTTATAGGATGACCCCAAAGTACCTGCGCATGCTAGTTCCAAGTGTTTAGAGCAGACATTGTTGGTGATCCGTCTTCAGATGCCTTTTCACTGCTTCTGTGGGCCCCTTTCCACCCCCATTCCCCAGTCTATACTGTTTTGCTTCCATTGGCCTGCACCTGAGGTCTCCTTGACTGTTCAAGGGTTATTGGAACCACTCAACCCACATACACAGAAAGTCAGTCATGTTCTTCTACTCACCCAGGGCAGCCTATGGCCAATGGCTGGTTGCAGGGGGGATATGGAAGCCCAGCTCCTTGCTATAATGTCAGCATATACTCTGAGGTGTAAATCACATTCCAGATTCCACTGAGATTGGATTTTGCCTAAAATCACACCTTTGCTTGGCTTCCCTCCCCTCTTGGTCCAGCGTCACCACTCCCTTGCCAGCTTCTCCAAGAGCATGTCCTAACATATGTCCTCGCTCATACCTACCACTCAGGATCTGCTGGGGGAAACCCCAGCCCACACCATCACCTGCCCTCCTTTGCACCCCCTCTGTAAATTTTGAGTCTTCTTATTCTTCTGCAAGTCTCATTCCATGCTGACAGCTGCAGCTCATGACACCTGTTTCAGGTCTCAAACTTTGGTTGTGGCACATGTCATAAACAAGTCTTGGTGGCCAGAGGCCCTTGATTAATGATCTCTGGTCATGGTGTTGAGTTCCTCTCTGCCAATGGCTTCAGACCATGTAACAACACACCGGAAGCTATGCATGCTGCCCTGGGGCCTCACTCCAAAATTCAGATCTTGCAATCGACAGGGAGTCTAGACTGAGAACCATAGGAAAATTAATGATGGTGGGTTTCTACTGTTGGCACTTCTTCCACGTTTCTGAGCTCTGAATATCATTTGAGGCCTTGAAGGCATATCTTTTTGAGAACTATATGCAGCAGGAGAGATCTGGAAATGTCACTGGAAAGACCTAAGTGGTTCCAGATATCCTGACTCAGAGGCAGCCCAGCGCTGAGAACCGCTCGATGGGAATGTCTACATTATGTGCTACCCTGGACACACCGTCTTAAACGCCAAGAAACAACATACTTCACAAGCTCCCAGGGCCCTCTCCGTGCCAGCCTCACGTGACTCCCCAACCCTCACTCCAGAGGCATACTCACGATTTTCACAGTGCCGCCCGGTGTAGCCTGCCAGGCAGGCGCACTTGTAAGATCCGGTGTTGTCAAGGAGGCAAGTACCATCATGGAAACAGGGAGAAGAGGAACATGCTGGAAGAGAAAAGGCAATTTCCCTCAGTGTCACTGTGCGGTGAGTCAACGTCTTCAAGCCTGGAGCCTCAACCGGAGTCTTTCACTTGCCTTTTGCAGTCTTCTTGCAATATTTTTACTTCTTTTACTGGATCTACATCACCAGTATTTGAGAATGCCTAAAACAGGTACTTATCTGATGTTATTTGATATTTTTGAAGGCCCCAGAAGTATGGCCCTATGGTCTGAAAAGCCTAAAGCCAATAAACAGCCACACCGCAGGGTTAAAGTGGAAGCATGCCTTTACCCCTCCCAGAAAGACCCCAGGGGAGAGCGGCAGCCTCAGATAGATTGAGATCTTTTTTTTTCCTTCAAGAAAGTGCAGCATCCTGGGTCTTAGGGGAAAGGAACTGGAAGATTTCCATGACAAGTGTACTTGAGAATTTCCTAACATACATTCTGTAAACATTAGTTTCTTGCAATGTTGATATGTTCAACTAAGAAAGAGTTCTGAGCTCAGATATGGTAGGGAAACGCTGCTGGTATTAAATGACAATGAACCAGATTTCTTTACTGCAGAACTTCTCAGAATGTTCATGTCCTAATGTGCACTGCAAATGAAAAGGATGCATGTAATGTCTGGCCTTCCCCAAGCTTATCTGGCCTCAGAACCTGCATTTTACAGAGAACTGTTTTTCTACAGAGGATACTTCGGGAAACGGCAGTCTGCATCCGAACCACTAACCCTACATTAATTTATCCTGACACGGAACCAGATCACTGGGTCCAGTTCCACAAGCCCAAACTGAGTGCTTGCTCTCTGTGGGGCAGCTGGAGAGATGCAAAGATGAACAGGACATTCTGTTTACCGAATCAGAGCTTTTTGACAATAAATGTACAACGACTATCACCTGAGGCATAATTCACCTAACGTTAGGAAAGAGGAGAAAGTGCTGTAAGAAGTTCAAAACAGGGCAAAGTCACAACCCATTGGAACAAAAGAAAAGGTTCAGCAGGGGAGGAGGAACAGGAGACAAAGCCTGAGGGCTGGTATTTGACGCATAGGTGTGGAGAAGGTGACACTAGCCTGAGGAAAACTCCAGCGCTCGCACACAAACAGGATGTCTAAGGAGCCACAATGCTCCGTCTACTTGACCATGCAGATCAGCATTTCCCAAAGTTCTCCAGTGGGGGCTGAGGAGTCCACTTCGGGGCAGGAAGGGACCCTCCTGGCCCTTCCCTCCATCACAGGGTCACAAGCTGGTGAGCCGCCACTGTTTCTACCTGGCGACCCTGATGGCCAGGCCTGCTGACTGCCACAAGGACCCACACAACTGTCTCAATGTGACTCCTCATCCCTTGGCCAGCCTCGGCCAGCCACGTACTACTGAGGGCGAGGATCAGCCAGAGGCGGACTGTACCATACCACAGAAGCATAGTTCTAGAACCCCGGCCCACACAGCTCTACCGGGGCCATCCTCTGTGAAGGCAGCGGGCACACAGGGGAGCTGCGGCTGCTGAGAGCTCACATGGAAACATTCCAAGGGAAGGGCAAGTGTGGGGTGGTGGGAGGGGGGTGTGGACAGTATGCTGGTCTCACCCAAAGGACAAGGCTGCAGAGGGATGACCCTACTGCCACCACCACTTTTCCTGAGATGTTTATATCATGCAAAAGCCATAGTGATCAAAATGCCATGCCAATGCCTGATTGGGTACTTTAAAAAAAAACAGAACTTCAAGCCCGAGCTTAGTTTTTAAAACCTGATGCAACCCAATCTCAGAACAGTGAGGGCTCAGGGTGCTTCTTTAGGATGGAGTGTTTCGCTCATTTTGGTCAAATCCTACTTCCTGATATGAACAGGGCAGGAGTTAAAGTCAAGCTTAGAGTTACTCACAAAGTAAGGGGCCCTCACCACTGAGTGAAACGCTTTGGATGCCGGTCCTGTAGATAACAGGGAGGCTCGGGGCATGACTGGGGTTGGACAGCTATGGAGTGCATCCTATGTACCAGACACTGCTAAATGCTTCATCCAGTCTCCCAGAGCCTCCTGAATGGAGCAAGATCTATGCATATTCCCTTATGTGCTGATTAGGAAATTGAGGCCTAGAGAAGTAGAATTTACCCCAGGGCACACGGCTTAATCTGCCAGAGCTCCAAAGCTAATGCTCTTAACCACGAGATGCCCTCAAGTGTGATCTATAGGGCCAACTGCTTTGTGACCTTGGAGAAATTACCTAGCCCCTCCTGCTCCAGCATACAGGGGCATCCCTAGTTCCTAGGTATGCTTCTGGTGAACATCTGTGAAATAGAGCTTGCCATTTCTTTCTTCCTTCTCTTCCTTCTGTGTAGGTTGCTTCTGAGAATGCAGCACACTGGGTTTTAATAAGGCTGAGCAGGGAGAAGGGGATGTGCACAGAAAGGAGATGTTTGTCTGGAGCACAGCCATAAAATGCTACACTTGTCTCGATGGCCTTTACCTGTGATCTCCTCAAATACAGCATGGAAGCCATCGAAATTCTTGGAGCCATCTGAATGGAAGAGGATGTGGAGCGAGGAGTCTGTGCTCCGGATAGGAGCGGGCCGCTCATTGCCACAGAAGCGTTTGATGATCCGGCCATTGCTGCTGTCCCCATCACGGACCTCAACATAGTCATACTGGCACATGTAGTCAAACTCCAGGCTCAACATGATGAACCTGTGGGTGGAGAAGGGGAAAGCACAAAACAGGTGGGCCTTGAACCATCCTGAGACTCCTGAGACCCCTGACAAGTTCAAGGCCAGATGATGACCAGGTCTCAGAAGAGTGGTACCACTGGCCTGATCTGATAGAAAAAGGGTCCTGGACAATGTGAGGTGAAATGAATTTCCCTTAACAGAGGGGCATGTATATGTCTATTGTCCCCATGTGTGTGAGCATGCCCAGGCAGAAGGAGTGCCTATTCCATTCAGAGATGGCTGAATGCACATAGCTGGCCTCTCTTACAGGGGCACTTTTCCACCCATTCTGCCTGGCTGGTTCCTTACAGTCCTCAGGCCTCACCTTAAATATTCTCTCCTCAAAGAGGCTTCCCTGACAGCTGTCTCTAAAGGAGATCCTCTGTTCTCTTCATAATGAGGATACTAATTTTAACTCCTCAAATTTATCTTCTTGATTTTGTGAGTGCGTGTCTCTGCATGCACAGGCATGAATGCCTACCTCCTCCACTAGACTACAAATTTCTTGAGTGTAGGAGAGAACATTTGTCTTATCCCATCACTGTTTGCATAGTGCCTAACATAGTGCCTGGCATACAGAGATGCCAAGCGAATATTGATGAAGAGATGGTTGAATAGATACTATAGTATAATTTTACAATTGGAGAATGGAAAAAGTGCACATTGTCTTGCAGAACTCAATAAAAGAACAAAATCTCTGCACATCTTTCTGTTTGATGAAGGATAAGAAGGTAATTATCCTCTGGGTAGCAATAATTCTTGCCCCAAAGGGTAGAAAAGGTAGCACTGTATCAGAATTTCAGAATTGGGGGAGATCTGATAAACCTGTGATTGCCTAAAAGGGTGTTGGGTTTGGAAATACTGGAATACATCAGATCAAAAAAAGCAGAAGATGACCCCACGCTTCCAATTCCAAGAGACAAGACAGGAGGCAGCCACATCCTAGAGCAGGAGAGGAAAAGCCATTTCTCAAAATATTCCCAAGGGAATGTCTGGGTATCAAGTTCACAGAATGTACATCTGTATCTTCTCCTTTAAGTTTTGGAAAAGAAATAGGAAAAGACAGAAGAGCTCACAACTGCCACCTGAAACAAGGGCCTATTTCTACCACTTTGCGTGAAAAGTTCAAGGGTCAGGATTAGAGAACACTAGAATATAGTGAATCAGTATATTTTAAATGCATCTAAGAATCTTACTAAAAAGAAGCCCTCTAGCTAAGTATAGCTAGTGTTTATTTTACAAAGTTTTTATCACAAAACCTTTTGTAAGGGACTGTAAGTTCCATTAACCATGCTTTGTGAAATGTGGTCTAGTATCTAACAACCAGACTTCTTTTTATTTTCCTATGCTTATTTATTTTTGAGAGAGAGAGAGAATTTAAAGTAGCCTCCAGGCTCTCAGACCCTGACATGAGGCTTGAACTCACGAACCATGAGATCATGACTCAAGCCGAAGTTGGACACCTAACCGACTGAGCCACCCAGGCACCCTAGGATCTGGCTTCTCATCACGATGCCACTGCTAGCTTACAGTGAGCCTTGACAGATTAGTTCTTTCTCTGGACTTCAGTATCTCTGTCTGAAAAGGGAAGGAGCAGGGACAAGGCCACCACCCAACAGAGATTACGGCTTTTTCTGAAACCAAAATATGAGACACTGCAAGTTGTATTTATGTTCATACACTCATTTGTTCTGTTAACATCTATCTGTGGCAGGCCTTTTCTGTGGCTGGCGCTGTTCTAGGTGCTGAAAGCACAGCAGTGACCCAACTAAATAGACCCAACTAGTGCCTGCCCTAATGGAGAGTAGTTCTGATTTGGGGAATAAACAATAAACAAGGAAACTAGAATACAAGGTAATATCATAGAGTATTAGGCGCTGTGAAGAAAATAAACCAGGTAAGAGCAGGAACAGTGACTGGGGAGGGTAAGCTTTTTATACAAGAGAGGTCAAGGAAGACCTCTCTGAACTTGATATCTGGGCAGACACTTACATGATGAAATAGATCCAGTCATGGGAAGTCATGGGGAAGAGAGATCCAGGCAGGGGGGTCTGTAAGTGCAAAGGGCCTGAGGCAGTAATGAGTTTGGCATATTTGAGGAACTGAAAGAAGGTCAGGATGCTGCAAGGTGGAGTATATGGAGACTGGTATGAACTAAGGAGGGGGGCAGTAGCCAGATCCTGCATGATGAAGAGTCTAGATTTTATTCCAAGCTTGATAGGAAGAAACTGGAAGGTTTCAGCAACAGAATAATGATTGGATTTAGAATTTTAAACGATCTCTCTTGTCACTGAGGAGGGTAAGCAGCAGAGCTGGCAAGAATGCACACGTGAGCCAGTTAGGAAGCCATGAGAGAACTGAGGAGAGATGGTGGGGGAATAAAGGCGAATGGTGGCACTAGAGTCAGATGCGGATGGAATTGAGATTATTTTACAGGTAAGAAAATAGATTTTGTGGTGGCCTGGCTGTGGTAGGTGATAGAAAGAGGGGCATCAGGGATGATCGCTCAGCTTTTGGTCTGAACACTGTACATATGCATCAGCGTTTCCTGTTATTTTTTATTATCACTGGCCAGCAGGTCCATATCTGACTAGAAGGGAAGAAATCTACCTATTTCCAGGCCTCCCTAGGGGTGTTCCCAGGCAGGTGATGTGCTTCTTCAATCCCTCCACCATTTTGGGTTTTTGTTTTGGGAGAGATTTTCTTTACATCCTGGATCTTGGAGAAGCTCCTCAGACGCCCTTTAAGGGGACCATCTGGCCTTGTCCCTGAGGTCCTGAAATAATATGCAGCATTGAACACATCCCCTCATCATCTCTGGCAGACCCCACTGGAGGCACCTTAAGCAGAAGGGTGTGGGCCTTCAGATGTTCCTTGTGCTAACCATTCTCTAGAAAAGTCCAATTAATGAGTCTCACTCCCAAACCCGATCCTACAGGAATGGGGAAACCAGCCACCGAGGGCCAGCTTTGATGACGAGAACTGAGAAGGGGACCTGTTTTGTTGGCTCCTTCCCAGGCAGGGCACCATGTGGTCCCTATTAGAGGATAGAGAGGCATTTGAGGAGCCAGCTGTAATGTGGAAACCTCCACTGATCCATCCAGAAAATACTTACTGAAAACCTGTGCCCTAGAAGATTAGAGATTTTCATGACTGTCAACCTCCCCACTGGTTAGAAAAAGAAGAGCTAAGTGGACAGTATTCCTAGAAATTCCAGGGGTGAGTGGGCCACTCTGCTTCCCTAGAAAGTTAAAGGAGATGTGTTTCCCAGGAGAGTGGGATACACTGGAGGCAAGGAGAAGTTCTTTCAACACTTATTTATGCAACAAGTATCTGCCAAGCACCTACGGTGTGTACCATGTACTGTCCCCAGCACTAGGATACAGCAGTGAACCGTTCTCTCTTGTGTTATTTATCTACAGTTACAACAATACTGGATCTGTACTTTGTACTATGGTATGAATTACATATTTGTGAGGACCCCAAAGCTTCATAAGAAGAAATGACTTACCTTCAATGCAAGCGAAAAAACTGGTTTATTTGTTATAGAGGTGGTTGTCATTTTCTGAGAACATCAGTGAAAGGAGCTAATGGATGTAAATTCCTTGAAGGTTAGAACTGTGCCTTTTATTTCTTCACTTTCCTCCCATAGAACCCAGCCCAGTACTGGGAGAATAGGAAGACTTGGTAAAGATTTGTGGATGGGTAGACTGCTATCAGTATTTTGCTTTGTTGGTGTTATTCTTGGGTCAAAACTGCCTAAGCACCCTCAGTTCTAGGGCAATGAATGACAAACATTTCATTGCCAGTAGCTTCGACCAGGTCTTATCCCATGGAATTGCCAAGACTTTAAAAAAAAAAAAAGTCTCCATTGTACATTTTCTGCTTTTAAGAATAAGGTGCTGATGGTTAGCCTTTGGTCACTAGGATCCAGGGCACTCAGTCCTCTTACTGTGTTTCCTTATAACCTCAAACTCTAATTCTGATCTCAGCCCCTTACCTTAGCTGGATGATGAACCCAGGTTTGGCATGAATGGTCCATTCACAGTGAGCATTTAGAGGGTAGCTCTCCAACAAAATCTGGCCCTTTGGAGCTCGCAGAACCTGGCCACATCCTGGGAAGAGAAGATTGGGACACGGAAATTGGAATAAACTGGAAAGAGATGGTAGAAGGTCTCAAAGAGCCTTTGTGTTCATCCCACACCCCTGAGAACAGAATGGAGAAGGAAGTTACTTTCTCAAGCACCTGTCAATGTGCTAGGAAATTTGCATAGGTTAATTCGCTTAATCTACCCAAGCTTATTTCCCAAGCTTGAAAGGGGAAGTAATATCATTCCAGTTTTCCATCTGGGAAGATGTATAACAAGAGAGTTAAAGAAATAGCTTGTTGAGGGGTGTGTGGGTGGCTCAGTCAGTTAAGCATTTGACTTTGGCTCAGGTCATGATCTCATGGTTCATGGGTTTGAGCCTCGCATCGGGCTCTGTGCTGACAGCTCAGAGCCTGGAGCCTGCTTCGGATTCTGTGTCTCCTTTTCTCTCTGCCCCTTCCCATCTGTGTTCATAAAAAAAAAAAAAAAAAAAGAAATTTAAAAAAATAAAGAAATAAATAGCTTGTCAAGCCACTAAGTGACTGAGCAGAACTCAAACTTAACCATGCCTGAATGTAAAGTCCAAGCCACTCAATCATTCTGCCTCTCCAAGACTTCCATATGCCAACCTGTTGACTCCACCCTGAAAGGCTTTTTTTTTTTTTTAAACTATTTTAAACTATTTTTAAACGGTCTATGGGTGCTTTCAAACTGTAATGGCGGAGTTGAACAGTTCTGACAAGAGACAGCAGAGCCCACAATAATGAAAATATTTACTAGCTGCTCCTTCAAGAAAAAGTTTATCTAACCCCGCTCTATGCCGAAATCCAGTTTGACCTCATAAATTCTAGATATGCAGTTATACTCAATAGCCCCTCCCCCAAAATAAAAATTCTCATCGCTTAGAAGAAAAATATTAATGTCAGCTGATACTGCTCCATGGCAAGATGGTGGTGGCGACATTTCTACCATATCAGGAAAAGAGCTCAGATTCTGCTTTCAACAAGCTGCGAGGTGTGAGGCTTCTGCTTTTGTGACGCTTACTGCTAGGCTGGCTGCACAAGTCATGTCTTCACTCGGACTTTCTCGGCTGCTGTCCTGGTCTGTCAGGGGCAAGCATCATCCACCACTGTCCATTGGGGTCCTCATCCCGCCCAGCCTCAGCCATCCCTCTCTGCAATCCGCCTCCCCAGTATCTGATTCTCCACACAGCAGCCAAAGCCACCCCGTAAATAAAAACAGTAGTAGATCACAGTACTCTCTTGATTCAACCCTCCAAAGGCTTCCCGCTATGCAGATACCGTTCACAGCCCAGCCTCCATGAGTGCCCAAACGCACCCTCTGCCTGGCCTCCACTCTGCTCATCTGCCTCCTCACCCTGCCCGTGCCACACTGGCCTCCTCTCTGTTCCCTACTCTGGGCCTTGCACTTGCTGCTCTTAACCTGACAGGTTTGTCTAGCTTGTACACCTAGAATGGAACCGGGCATGTAATAGGTTGAATGGATGAATGAATGATGACATTATCACAGGTCAGGCACAGGCTGAAACATTTACAAACACCCTCTCATTTAATGCTCATGAGAAACCTCGGAGAACAACATTCAACTCTCCATTTCCCAGATGCCGAACACGAAGGATAGAAGTTAGGTGACTTCTTCCTCAAGGCCAGACGGCCAAGAGGTCAAAGTCTGCAAGTGACTGTTCTACTCTCAAGTACCGGTTACAAATGGAGACTTCAGAGTCCCCACTGCCTTTGGTTTGAGACTCAGCTTTACCTTCACTGGCTGTGTGGCTTTGGGCAAGTTACTTCTTCTCTCAGAACCTCAGGAAACTGGAATCAAATGGGAATAAAACTGGCACCTACTTCACATGATTTTGTGAGACTTGAATCAGATTATGGGCAGAAAGCCCTTAGCAGAGACATCAGTAAATGTTAGCGGCTGCTGGTTGGTAGCTGAGCAGGGACTTGAACTTGGATCTGCCTAGTACCAACGCTGGGTCTTGGCTGGTACGTTCAACTGTCTTGGGGGCTTCCTGACCTAGCCCGGTCCGGCTCCATTTGGAAGCAGTAGGATTTTTCTACCCCCTGAAACAGATACACTGAATCTTCCCCCCTGCCACCCACCTGTCGTGTTTTCTGAAGTGCACGTTCCTTCTTCCTGCACACCTCACACACCATCGCCCCCATCCACCCATCTGCTGCCTGGCTACGGAAGTGATACGCTGGGTGTGAGAGACAAAAAAAGAAATCTTCCTGCACAGCCTCCACCCTTTGGGGACTGGCAGCTTCCCAGCCTGCAAGGTGTTAAATCCCAGCTCCCACAGCAAACCTCCCGCAGGGACCCTGAGTTAGAACCAGCAGCAAGTGCTGCCTGCCTGTTTTCTTGCGTACGGAAGCTGCACTCGGGCAGCAGGGAACCCGGGCCTCTCCTCGAGTCTGGGGGTGCTGGTGCCCATCCCAGTCAGGTCTTCTTGGCAGGACCATTCAGGCTTTAGCCAGACCCAGGATCTCATGCAGCCTCTAGAGAGGCTGAGGCATCCATTCCCACCCAGGCACTGGCCCCTGGCCATGTGAAAGCTATACCACTTGTCCCTGCAGGCCCGAGGCTGTCCTTCAGAAGCAGCCAGGATTCCAAAGCACATGCCATGCCTCGGCTCCTCATGATGTTTTCCTTCTCCCTCTGGGGGGAAGGGAGGAGTTGACCCCAAGACGGTGGACAAGTTCCAACCAACCAGACACAAAGAGGCCACTTCTCAGCAATGTGCTGGGGTGGGGGGGTGGGGGGAAGGGTATTGGGCACAGGGAAGAGGAGGAAGGAGCTCTACCCTCTCCGCACACCAAGGAGCTCCATCAGCTCACTTTCCACTCTCACCTCCTCTCCGGGAACTGGCGGGCCTGGGTGCAGGGGCGAACTCAGTGCACCTCTCTGTCTAGGGCAGAACAGTGAACACAGCTGAGTGTTCCCGCCAAGGAAGCACTGTTGGCCAACCAAGCAGGTGGTCCTGAGGCTGAAAGACCAGAGCAGGCAGCGGGCCCGGAAACGTGCTCAGATTCCTGACGATGTCTTGTTGCAGGGGGGACGTGGGGCGTGTGTGTATGTGTGTAGGGGCGTTTGCCAGAGAAGCCAGACTGTCCCCTGGGCTCTCAAATCCTGGATTCCTCTCCAACCCCACCACCCCCCGACCCTCCTCTGTTGCTACAAGCCAAAACAGGAGAGTTCGCTGAAGAGACTCTGCTACTGCAGAGCTGAAGGGAAATCTCCATTAACTTCTAAATTGGCAAGAGAGCTGGAAGGTTCCCAACAAAAATGAACACCCCAGCATTCAGACAAAAGTCTTGCGATCTCCAGCATGGGGTGGGGGGGAGGGGAGGAGCAAGAGACAGACACAACAAACTTCTGAGACGTGGTTGGGTTTTGTTTTATGGGTTTTTTTGTTTGTTTGTTTGTCTTCTTAAATCTTTCCTCTTGGGAGTGGGGAGAGGGGGAAGAAATAAAGAAAGCAAGCATTCAGACAGAGAGAGACATTTGCATTTTCTTCCCTCCTTCGGAGAGGACTCCGGGGCAAGGCTCACAATGATTAAGGGGCAGTCGTGAAGTCAGGCTGGGTCCGCTTCCGGTCAGTCTTTTACTAGCTGTGTGACCCCAGACAAGTTCTCCAGGTTCTCAAGGCCAAGACTTCCTCATTTGGAAATGAGAACGTTCCTTCCACCATGTCATTGTTTTCTTATTTGTCATATGGATTAAATGAGATAGATCTTTATGTAAAGCATTTAGCATAGTACCTGATAGGGAAAATGCTCAATAAATGGCAACTAATAGTGCTGTTTCTCTTGAGTCTTGTCTGGACTGGAGACACTATTTTGGCCCAAGACCCACTGGGGATGGTCCAGCTTCTAATTCCCTGCTCTGACCCTTAAGGCTCCTTAGAGTCTCCTTACAGCATTGGCTACATCCCTAAACCCATTTAGACCCAGAAGCCCCAACACTGATGGCAGAACAAATGCCTGGATGATGATATGACGATGACCCATGTCCAAGGCCAGGAGCTGGGAGGCAGCTCACGCCTTTCATGTGACTATTTCATCCTACCATGACTTGCTGGGCTCCTGGACAGGAACTCGGAGTGGGGACCTCAAGTGCCTCCCACAACAAGAAATGATTTAGGATAGAGGATGAAAGACAGGGCTCTGGCTTCTGAACTGGCATTTCCTTCTGCTACTTAACAAACTACGTGACAGAAGGGAAGTTACTTAACCCCCCTGTGCCTCAGTGTCTCACCTATAAAGCAGCTTTGATGAGGAATAACAGCCTTGGACATGATGGCACTTAGAACAATGCCTAGCTCGTAATAAGTGCTAAAAGATGGCTTTCACCAGGGGCTCAGATCTTAATCAGGAGCTGTCAGATGTCCGGGAATAATTCCATGGCTCACCTTATGATTTGGCCTATAATCTCAACTAATTTGATACTTTAGAGTGATGGTTTATTTAATTGTTTGCCTCCTTTCTACCTATGACACAGTTCTGTGAGAGCAGGGACCTCATCTGTCTTCTTCACACCTTTATATGCATGAAGTAGGCACCCAAATAATTCTTTATTTTAAAAATTTTTTTAGGGGCGCCTGAGTGGCTTAGTCGGTTAAGCGTCCGACTTTCACTTGGGTCATGATCTCGCGGTTCGTGGGTTCGAGCCCCGCGTCAGGCTCTGTGCTGACTGCCAGCTCGGAGCCTGGAGCCTGTTTCAGTCTGTGACTCCCTCTCTCTCTGACCCTCCCCTGCTCACACTGTCTCTCTCTCTCTCCTAGAACTAAATAAAAATATTTAAAAAAAAAATTTTTTTAGCATTTATTCAGTTTTTGAGAGACAGAGAATGAGTGGGGAAGAGGCAGAGAGAGAAGGAGACACAGAATCTGAAACAGGCTGAGCTGTCAGCATAGAGCCTGATGTGGGGCTCGAACCCACAAACCATGAGATCATGACCTGCATCCAAATGAGTCGATGCTTAACCGACTGAGCCACCCAGGC